CTATATCTTCCCGACAACAGATTCCGAGTCTCTCCGATGTCTCCGATTTTCGCGCGAAGATTTTCCCTCCTTGCGTCCAGACGAATCGCCAACCAACTTCCCGTTTCTTTGCCACTGCAGCACCAAGCAACTGTTTACCCTGACGGGTTAAGTTTTCATTTACAAAGATTGGTGCTGAGCTCTTGAGACCAATTTCTCTAGCCGAGGGCCCCACTTTTCTAGCTTTCATGAGAATGGCATTCCGCTTGTCGCGTCGCACAAAACGTACAACAATGCTCCTAGTTTCTTCCTTAGATATGCCCATCCTTTGACAGGTGTCAATTTCAGATTCCGTGACTGGTTCCTTGACTGCGGCACACAACTTTTTTACAATCTCAAATGGCTCTCCTTCATTTGGCGCACCTTTAAATTCAAGGTTGTTAGCATGGGTATATTGCTCAAACTCTTCAACTTTTATCTGTAGCTATCGATTTTCTGTCACTAGTTTCTCGTTAGCTTTCCGTGTTATTACTAGTTCCTCGCGCAAAGCCTTAAGTTCTTGCGAGAGCAAATTGACATGGTCACAAGTCTCACTACAGTGATCAACGCTCTGTTTGAAACCATGGAGCTCTGCCCAAATTTATCTCTTAAAATCCTCAAGCGCTTTGTTAATATTCTTCATGTCAAGAAACACAAAACACAATAGTTTGGCAGCAGTGCAAAAAGTTAAAACGCGTATAATTCTATCGCAAGTGGAACAACGCTCACCTGCATGAAAAAATATACAGCATCAAGTGATGTGAAGTCGATGCGCACTGCCGCAAAACTGAAGATCACCCGGTGATGTTCGATTTATATGTGCAGGGTCAAGAAGCCACGTGACATGCGCAGGAGTAGTATGACTTGCTTCCACTACCAACAGCTGATGTGGCCGGCAACCGACGGATCCGATCCTTTTTTCGCTTCTAAGGGCAGTTTCGCTGCGCACACTTCAAACAGGCTGCACGGAAAAATATACAGTATCAAGCAATGTGAAGTCGATGCGCACTGCCGCCAAACTCGGAAATCGCAAACTCGGAAACGCAAACTCGGAAATCTTTTGAAATTTTTGCAACGTGCACATCGACTTCATCCTTGTGTATTCACGATTAGAAAAAGTGTCCTATCACCACCATATAAAAATGTTCCAAATCCTAATTGAGCAGTTTGTGAAGATAAATTAGATGACTGCATGTTTCAGGACAAACGTTGTTTTCCCTGAAGGAGTGCTCGGCCTAATTGCCACGAGTTTAAAATGGGCGCCCATCGAACGGGTCACGAATCTTATGAAGCCAAATGACATTCATGCACTCCGAGTTTTTCTGGGATTTTCAGGCCACTTCAGACGTTTTCATGAAGATTTTATAAGACGACGAGATTTTTCATAGAGCTCACGAAGAAAGGGGTGTTTTTCTTTAGACCTGAAAATCCGGAAACACTTATCAAGAAGTTGTACAGCTTATTTTGTCAGGCCCTCTTCTTACCCTGCCACACTACAGTTGACGTTTTGAGAAGAATTGTGACCCAGCGCTTCTTCTGCCCTAAAAAAATTGCAGTTCAGTTCAAGATCATTAGCTATGGGTTATGTGGTACGACTCACACCTTCAACTGCACTCAGGAGAATGACAGAAAAAAATTAGGAGACTTTCGCTGTTTTAATCGCTGCCTGCTACTTCAAATCATACATAGACAGCGGCCGTGCATCGGTTCAAGATTATTTTTTGTGTGCATGGATCGTGAAGCCGCATTGCACGTTTTATATATGTCACAGACAAGAGTGAACTTGGCCCGATGGGTCAATGAACGTAAGCAGGTACGCTTCGACGTCTTTCAGCATGCAAGCAGCCATCTCTCGAATGCTGATACCCTGTATCGATTTGCGGTTGAAGTCTGGTGTAGAATCGTAAACTGGATAGGGTTATGTGAAGGTTAGTAAAGATTGTACTTCAAGGATAGCAAGGTCGTTCTATCAGAAACGTCTGTTCTAAAGGGCTACGCTTGTGTCACAACAGCCTGGAATAAGGCGGTCTTGAGAGTTTTTGGCGAAGGTATAACACACTTTTCAAACGGTTCACTTGCACAAACGTGATAAAGGTCTCAAAGATTAAGTCTAGTCGTGCCACTTCTATCAAGTGAACAAAGCCAAATACCAGGCTCGAGACGATGAGCGCATTTTGCCAAATCACTCGAACAATCCTTTTGAGTTTGTGTACGTGGCTGTCGTGGAAATAAAGATATCACGAACTTTGGAAGTTGCCGGATCTCAGTGTTGCAATAGACCAGCGCACCGTGAAGGCAGGGGGGGGGGGGGGGCATCACGAATGAGAAGACGCTAAAAGCGTTATGGCGTTGCTGGAAGGGCCAGGGTATTGGCCAGTTGGTTGTACTTAGCATAAACTTTTTCACCGTAGAAGGGAGCAAAAACAACATGGAGAGAACAACACGAGACAGCACGAGCGTCCCTACTTCCCATTCGTTTCCTTACAGCGTGCAAAAAGTTTACTTTGTGGCTTTGCTTTACATCCTTGCATCTAAACGTTCTGATTATATGAGGCAATAAAGTCGCAAGTGGCATCACGCAACGCCATTGTGCTCTTTTTCTCCCGCAAGCAAATTGAATGGATGAAAGAGTTATTCTCGACATTAAGCAATTTATGCCCAAATATCCAACGTTTAGGGGTTGGTGAAACTGCTTTCTAGAAGCGGCTGTGACTACTCCCCCCCCCCCTCAGCGAACACTCACAACCAGTCTTGGCTTCAGCCCACATTTTGTTGCTTATGTCGAAACGTGTGATATTGCCAGCTGACAAAAAAAATAGGACCAATGATAAACCGCACCTTTCTGAACACCGAAAAACCAACCAGGAACGCTGCTTAAGGTAACGGAGCTCCAATTTCACAAACGACACCAAGCAACCTTGCTAGATGTTGAAGTGATGAATGAAGTGCTTGTGCAGAAGGGTCTGTCGACTAGTGACACAAGAACCCTTTGAATTTTCGGAGCCGTGAAAACGTTTTACAGCAAGGTGTGCTAAGCATCACAGGCTACCCTAATGAAGAACAAAGATTTCACAGATACAAGCAACGCTCTTCAGTGTCAGCGTAGAAAACAACAACGGGCGGAATCTAAGGAAGAAGACTGAAAAGAAAACACCAGTGTACCGTCTTAGAGAGGGAGGAAGAAGAACTGAAAGAAACAGTAATGCTGAGCGTAACGACTTGACGATTCTCGGTGTCAATTAACTGACAATCTTATTTTAGGTACTGCAACACTATAATTTTAAATACTTCAGAAATCACTTACCGCGTGTAATGTAAACAGCAAGTGGTCTCAGGAAAGAAGCAAATGAACAATTAACATTTGTCTTTGGTTCAATCAAGAAATCCGGAAATGTGATCAGTGCAACAAATCCTTTTCTATGACTTTTGTTTTTTATAGAAATCCATTCTTTACAGACAGCTGCTTCCGGCAAGAACGTGTGCCTGAACACACATGAGGCATACGTAAAATTTCAGAGGTTCGCTGGTAGTGCAGAAACTTTCAAACGTATGATGAAGAACAAAACGCCAAGAAAAAGCGAAATATGCGTAATTAACTGCTTGCTTAGACGTATAAAATCACTACGTTGGAAAGACAATAGAATGAGCACCAACTGAGATTAATCAGAAACACACGGCTTGCGGATAGTACTGCGTTTTCGAGTATTGACGGAAACCAATTGCCAATGAATGACTGAAGATATCAACAGAGTAAGCTGTTATAGAAAATTAACGATAGATATTCTGAAGGGAATGGTAATGCCATGGTGAATGACACTATAATCAACACTTTCATTTGACTTTCGCGAGAATCAAATTGTTCCGTTTAAAAGAAGCTTACATAGCGAAAAGCTGCCTCGAGGGCTTAGCCAGCCCTATGTGAGAAGGTATGTGCCGGAAAGATAGCGCCTCAATTCTACTCAAAAGAAAAGAAAAGACCAGTACTGGATGTAATATACCACATAAATCTTTGAATCAAATTTACGTAAACCTAATAACTATTTACGAACACAAACCTAATTTCCCGAATAGAAGAACATGAGATAGAGAATCAAATGGCTAACAAATAGGCCAATAACGCATCTCACGATGCCGCGATGGACGCAAAGCGTTATAATCTACATTTATTTGAAGGTATAAAATGCCATATTTGATACAGAGTGCTAATTTAATTTTTGAGTTGGCGTACGAGACAGATGTCAGTCTTTTCACTGTTTCAGGAAAAGCCCCTGATTAACTTTCAAGCTGGTTTTGACACTGCAGCAATCATATATCGTAGCCGACAATAATAAAAAAGCTCATATTTACCGAGAATGAAATCTGCTAGAAAAACAGTTGAAAAGTAGGCTGTCCAAATTTTTATAAAGCGTTGGTGTTTTAATAACAGTCATGCTTAACTGAATTAACGCATGCTGTTTCACTTCTGTGTGGTTCACCATTTGACAAGTGAATTCTTGTAAATAGTAAATCTACTGAAATAATATTTCATAATTTTCATTATAATATATTGAAAGATAACCTAGAAAAAATACTTGAGCTTAGTAGGTGTTACTACACACGGCAACTTATAGTGCAGAACCACAATTATATTAACATTATTATGTTATTGTGCTTTTTCAGTCCTAATTCCGGGCGAATTGACGCCACTAGGATGAAGCTGCATCAAACTCTCGAGTTCTGCGTCCTTTATACCGATCTTTTTTTCACGCTTATACGATCTTCTCGGCAAATACAATTAGGCCAAGTACCTACTGACTATACTTTCAAATCAGTAACCTCCATTTAGTGCTTATGACATTTGCAGGAAATATTGGAGGCACGACTACATTCTAATCACCCACCACTTTTCTAACCTTAATGTCATAAAAAAAAACAAGCCATAGTTACTAGCCCAACTAGGTATATATGAGATTCGGGCTCACTACTTTAGAGCTGGAACTTCGTGTGCCGAAGAGGGAGTGATGACTGGTGTGTTCAAACTCGCCCTGCTTGCAGTGGTTCTCACTGCCGCAAGAACACGGTGCGATACAGATGAAATAAGGGTTCAACAAACTCCTGGTCGTACCGCTGAAACCGCTGAACAGAACATTCTTAAAAAGGTAAGATATTTATTATTTTAAGCTCTAAGAATACGAAGACGGTTTACGTGTGCCATAGCCTTGTTTTCTGTGTGCACACGGCTCATAACTGATCACCGAGGCCCAACTAAGGGGTCCCATATTGAAAATAGTATTGCGTGCACGATGTTGTGACATAAGTTAAGCCTTACTACTTCTACCATATATTTACCACAATTTTTTTCATTCAAAATGAATGTGGATACTAGTTTTAAAGCAATATGAAAAAATCGGGCAGCTGGTTTACACCCATGTTATAAGATTTGGTTGAAGTGCACCAAAATTCATACGTGTTTTATAGTGTTCTTCAATCAAGCGTCAATTTTTACAGCCATAAATCTGTTATGATATCACAACATGGGTTACGCGCGGCGTGATAGTTTTTTGCTGCCGCCGCCGCCATCGCCAGTGTCCGTAACCACTATCGCACAAAATAATAATTAAAGATAAAAGTAAAATAAGTAAGTAAATAAGTAAATAGTAAATAAAAATAAATAAGTAATTAAAAGTAAAATAAATAAACAAAGTTTAAGTAACACAATAAAAATAAAGTAAAAAACCCCGAGCTAACAGTGGAGTTCGATCCCGGGTGCGCTGCGTGCCAGCTCAAGACGCCGGTGCTTGGGACTCATTTCTAAACTTGCCTTAAGTGGGCTTGATGCCGCGAAAGGAATCGCGTTTTTACGAGTAATAAATATTTTTAGAACAGCAAAGGAACAACCAGGCCTTCCACAATGTGAATAGCGTAATGCGTGGGTCGTCCAATGCTGAAACACATTATAAAAGCTTGTTCTTGATCACCTATTAACTGTGGTGCATTCCCACTTTAGGCATAATTCCTCATCGGCGTCAGCCACTGCATAAACAATTGGTAAAAAAATTCCTGCAAATATTTAGCTGATGCCACGCTTCTCCGAAGAATGATGAAGGATAGCAGAGTGAATTCTAGCCTACTACCTATAAAATATAACTAATAATGATGTAGTGTGTACCCAGCAAATGTGCTTGTAGCATTTGCCCAAAGAGTGTTTATTTAACTTCGAAAGACTGCTTAGAAAAGGCTCTGAAAGGCCAGTCTTCCTGCTTTCGCTGCGACTGTGCTGCGTGTTCTGCGCAGGGCTGGTGTTTTTTTTGTTGTTGTTTTAAAGGCTACGCTTCCTGCTTTTGCTGTCACTGTGCTGCGTCTTCTGTGCAGGGCTGGTGTTTTTTTTTGTTTTAGCCTCGCGTGTATAGGTAGACACCACAGGGCAACACGGGTGCCGCGTGCACTTCCTTCTTTTTCCAGAAAGACCCCTAAATGTGGTCAGCTGACAATATATCACTGAATTACGAATGAGGACTTGAGCGAAAGGAGTTAGCTTGTTGAAGGTTACGTCGAATTAACATAGCCGCTTCGGGCATGATATGACTTGTGTGTATACGCCAAGGCACAACGCGCAACTCGGCGGGCTTCTATAATCTTTGTGACAAAAAACGATCACCGATGAACGCGGTATTGTCTTGTGCGAATCAGGAGCACTGCTGTTTTTTTGTTTTTTTTCATTTTCCAATAAACTAAGCAAATACGCATGCGTCGAGATGACGGGACGTGGTGAGGGTGGAATGAAGAACCGGGGAGCAGATGTGGGCGGCATTATGTGTGTCAACGCGATGTGGTGAACCTGACATCGCCCAATTCCACCAGTGTTGGCTGACACGAATGCGCTAGTGGGCTAATAAGTCCGCTAGAGAATTCCGCACACAAACTGTGCTGCTTCAACCAACATGTTTCTTGTTCTTTGAAGCCTCGCGACATTTCTCGTACCCGTGCACGAGTAGCATACACTAAGCAGCCAGAAGCAGCGTGCGCAGGCACGAAGCCTTGCAGGCACTAACTCAGCGACTCACTGGCTCTCATATGAAAACCCCCTGAGCCTAGCCTGTCTTTAGCTCTATTTCATCCTCGTTTGCTCATTCGCTTACACCACTGATAACACTGATAACAGCGACGCTACTGAACGCAGGAACGGGCGCCTAACAGTTGTGCTCTAAAAGCGACAAAAGCATGCAGGTCCCACTGTATACTCTTTTCTCGCTCGTTGCATTTACAAATACATTTATTAACATCTCATAGGTTAATAAATGTTTCATAAATATGTTAATAAATAACTAATAAAAATGACATGTTAATAAATAACTGTTTGTTAGTTCTCATTATTATTGTGTCCAACTAATAAAATGAGCCCTTTAGGTTACACTTCTTTTTTTACGCTCTTTGCTCTAACTGACGTTACATGTTTTGGCAACATAAAGTTTGACGTTGCTAGTTACTCTTCACTTCGGTTCCTCTCTTCCCGTAGTCATAAAAATTAAATCGTCCATGTGAATCAAAGCAAGCAAGCATGATTTTTGTTTTTTTTGCTGGCAGTTGTGACGAGGGCTACAATGCCTCATCTCAGCTACTGTTACGTATGTACGTGACTGCTGTGCATTTCTGTACGTGACTGTGATGCTGTCATCAGAAGTCGCAAGTTCTGCACTGTACCGACTTTCAGTTAGCATTGCGTGCGTCGTCGACACCCACAATTTTATTTTTCTTCATAAAATAAGTGCAATAAAATCTTAAGCGAAGTAAGTATTGACCCCGCTAGTTTTTACAAATCTGTAGGTTCAAAAAATTGCAATTGAAAATTTGGTGCACTTAGCAATCTAAATGAAATCAGGGGACTTGCCACGCATCGGGCACATTCGTCATATACAAAGTGGTCAGTACCAGTGTGCATGCTGAATTTTTCTGATTGAGTCAACTTATACGAAGTGCATCAACGTCTATCGTTAAGTTTAATAGTTGTCCGCGTGGGTAAGTTCAGGTATACAATTTGCCTTCAATTTCCAAAGAGATGTATACAACCAAGACGTCAAAATATTGTTGTAGTGTTGCTCTTGTGCATGAGCCTAGTGAATTTATTCGTCGGCTCATCCGTACAGCTTTTCAAATGCCGTTCCTCAGCCTATACGTATGGAGAAAGCAAAGAGCACGCACTTGCTCTTAGAGCAGCACGCGAGCATTTTTTGGTTGTTTTGGGGTGCCATGAACTTTTGACTAATGAGGGGCATAGAACAGAGCTTTATAAAAGAAAAAAAGCATAAAATGTGTACTACAGCACAGCGGGCATAGTTTGCCACGTGCTGTTGAAAAGCCACCTTCCTGAACCACCACGGCCTTTCTTCATCCTCCGTCTCTTCTTGTTCTTCTACGCTCTTAGGCCGCGTTCACACTGAACATTCCGGCCACCGAAAGTGCTCCGAATCCGGTTCGGCGGCGGCGAGATCCGCCGAAAGGGCCCTCTCCGCGCCAATTGCTCTCGGACCGATTTTTGCAGCGTCTGCCGCCGAATCGGTCACTGCGGACCAATAGGAGCGCTAGTCAAGGAATTTTGAAAAATGGCGGCCAAGACCTACTCACTTGTTATGCCGCAGTGCACGTAACTGAATGTTGAAACCAACGGGAATTTAACCTACTCTGTGCCTACTTCGCGTCCATATTTCGTGGAAGAGATGACCGAGCTTGTTGCGGTCTTGCAGAGCAAAACGAACCCACCAACGCCGCTGGCGTCGGTAGTTTTTCTGCTCTTTTGCATTACAAGATAGCCACTTGCCAGCAAAGTAAGCGGTACTGTCTTTTCTTGCTTCTTGCGTACAAGAATCTTCCAAGTATACACCAACGGATAGCGTAGTGGCGTTTGCGAGCCGCGACAACCGCGTGACAGCGCATCCATCCCGCGTTCACCCCGTAGTAGATGGCATATTCGGCGGCACGGGGAGCATCCAGAGCGAACAACGCTGCGTTTCGGCGGCAGGGGAATTTCGGTCACTGTAGAAAGCGGATGTTTCAGTGTGAACTAAACATTATAGCAATGAGTAAAAAGCTTGTAACGACGAGCAAATAGTAACAACAGCTGTAACTTAGCGTCTTGGGTCATTGCTGTGTTTAAATGCGAAGCATTGAGCGTATCTATCTATCTATCTATCTATCTATCTATCTATCTATCTATCTATCTATCTATCTATCTATCTATCTATCTATCTATCTATCTATCTATCTATCTATCTATCTATCTATCTATCTATCTATCTATCTATCTATCTATCTATCTAGCCGCCTACGACTTTTAGCTCTCCTGGTCGTTTCAGTAATGGTATCGACACCAAACTTGGTATGCCATAACATGACTGTATGACGAGCATATTTGACTAGTCATAACACGAAAATATTGATACGTATGCCATGAATGTCATGATTTACATTTCATGGTTTTGTTGCTCTTGCAGTGGTCTCGTTCACATGACATGTTGCGAAACTGGTATGCTATGACATGCTTGCATGGCAAATAGAGGCGACAGACCCTAACATGGAAATCATGACATGCATGTCATGTAAGTCATGAGTCATGACTACACGCCACGCTCATGATGCGCTCGTAGACGTCTCGCTAGCTTCACATATACCAAATTCGTCGTACGTGATGCGAATAGATGACGAAGGTTTGTGACTGGTTCAAACATGATAATCGTGAGATGCGTGTCAGGTGATATTATGACTACAAGCCACGCTCACAATGCCCTCATAGCCCTTTCGGTAGCTTAACATACACCGAATTCGGTATTACGCGTTGTGAATGGGCGACAAAGAGAGGTGACTGGTGCAAGCACGATAATCATGTGATGCGTGTCATAAAACAACATGACTACATGCCACGCTCATGTGCTCGCGGCCGTCTCGCTAGCTTCACATGCACCAAATTCGTAGTACGTGACGCGAACATATGTAAATGACATGTTCAAACATGATTATTATGACATGTTTGTCATAAAACAACATGACTACCTGCCGCCCTCATCATGCGCTTGGGCCGTTTCGCTAGATTTATATATATGCCAAATTTGGTATTACGTCACGTGAATGAATAATGAAGGTATCTGACTTGCGCAACCATACTTAT